CCCCCCCCCGTGTTCGTGCCAGGGTCCAGCACGAGCGCCTGCATGTGAAGCACCGGGGCCATGAGGCCATGCATGCCGAGATGGTGCTGATCCTCGTGGCCACGCTGGTGGTGGCTCAGATCGTCCTGGTGCAGTGGAAGCAGCGGCACCACCGCTCATACAATGTGAGAGGAGGCTGGGGGGGGGCTCATGCTTGTTTACAGACATCTTTTGTGGAACCGGTTCTTTAACTCGTCTTCTATTTCTCTACATTAACCACAATTAGCTGTTGCGTCACTATGGGACCTCACTGAGTCAGGAGAGTTCATCTGTTAGTCTGGTTGTGTTCAAAACAATCACACTGCACCACATGACACTCGTAGAGCTCAGTCCTCTGGACGTGTTCATCAAGATCCACGAATGTTAAAAAATGTTCTTTCACATTAACTAATGATCATGAGTGAAATTAGTACTAATAATTAAATAACGTGTTACATGTATGTGTCCTCCTCAGCTGGTGACTCTGGTGCAGATGTGGGTGGTGCCTCTGTACTTCACCATCAAGCTGTACTGGTGGAGGTTCCTGTCCATGTGGGGCATGTTCTCCGTCATCACCAGCTTCGTCATCTTTCGAGCCACTCGCAAGCCGCTGTCCTGCAGGACGCCGAGGTGAGTGAGAGCAGTGCTCCAGGCTGTCACTCTAATTCAAGTCGAGTTTTCAGAATTGAATTTGATGCTGCTGAGATTTGAACAGACATGAAGAAGTGAAACCTGTTTGTTAGGATGGTGTACAAGTGGTTCCTGTTGATCTACAAGCTGAGCTACGCGGTGGGCATCCTGGGATACCTGGCCATCATGTTCACCATGTTCGGCTTCAACGTCTTCTTCAGGTCAGTCCGTGGTCACAAACGACATAAAACATTGACCACAGGAGGGCAGTGTTGTTTCTGGGCGTGGTTTCTGTTTTCTGCTCAGGGTCGACTCCGACCAGCCGTCAGTTCTGGTGCAGACCGTACATATCCCATGATTCATTGTGCTTATGTGACAAACTGTTTTTTAAGGAGGCGAAACATCAGAAGAAGTTATTTTTAAATGTAAGCAGGTACAACGGTACACAGTTTAAACTTTTTAATGTTTTTAATCAACCGAAGAACTTTCTTGTAGTTCTGTTGCTTCGTTTACAGGATTTGTAAAGAGCCTCAAAGGTTTCTCACTTCAGATCAACACAAATGAAATGGGCTTTGATTATTTCTGCTCTCTAAGAGGGGAACCTTCTTTTCTGTCCGTCTGTAGGATCAAGGCCGAGGACTCCATGGATGTCGGTGTCATCATGCTGTTTTATGGTCTCTACTACGGCGTCATGGGCAGAGACTTTGCTGAAATCTGTTCTGACTACATGGCTTCTACAATCGGGGTAAAACAAAAACAAGATTCTACTTCAAATTGACCAAAGTTTCAGAGCTGAGCAGCAGCATTTAGCTAATCACGACTGTGTGTGTGTGTCCAGTACTACAACAAGGGAGGCATGCCCAGCAGGAGCCTGACCAATGACATCTGTGCGGTGTGCGGTCAGCGGATCCTGGTGGATGTGGAGGAGGAGGGGTTTATTGAAGACACCTACCAGCTCTCCTGCGGACACATGTATCCTGAAGCTCAGCATTTTGTCTGTGTGAACAACAGTTGTCGTAGCACCAGACACATGTCAGATTTTCTGCCTTAACGTGCTCCTCCAGATTCCACGAATTCTGCATCCGCGGCTGGTGCATCGTGGGTAAGAAGCAGACGTGTCCGTACTGCAACGAGAAGGTCGACCTGAAGAGGATGATGAACAATCCGTATCCTTTTTATTACTGTCCCGGTGGCTGAGTGATGGGGACCTGATGTGAATTATTTAAAACTAAAATCGTCAACCAAAGATGTTTTACATACAACTGTAT